CGGTCAGCAGACAGCCCAGACGCGTCTGGGCTGTCCGCTGCCCGCGTGTTCCGCCGCTTTGCTCCCCGTCCCCCTGGTCTGATTCCTGGAATCAGCCGCTGATCAGTTTCAGCAGCAGCTCACTTGGGGATGCCTGGGGTTCTTAAGTTGAATCTGTATGTAAGTCAGAACTGGCGTCCAGATTCAGCCACTGTTGAAACTGATCAGTTTCAGCAGCGGCTGAATCAGGACGCCAGTTCCGACTTACATACAGATTCAACTTAAGAACAAACCTACAGTCCCTATCTTGTACGTAACCCGGGGACTGCCTGTATATAAAATTAATATCCATTTTGTGATTTTATTTGGAAATAAAAAAATAAAAACCAAAACATTAAAATATCCCCCTCCACTCTCACAGAGCCAGGCACTCCCATATCCCCGTTCTAACCCAATTCCCCTCCGCTCCCCTGGCCTGCTCTAACCCAATGCCTCCTCCCTCCCCCAGACCCAGGCACTCCCAGCCCCTTCCCCCCATACCTAATGCCTGGGTCCTGGATCCAGCGTCACCCCCACCACACATTTCTTCCTCAGGCGCTGGGGAGAAGAGCGCACAGCATCCAGCTGTGAGCAGGCACTTGCCTGTGCAGAGTAGCCCGGCCAGTGTGATCTGCACTCAACCACATGCCAGACTACTACTAGCGGCCAGCAGGCCATACTTTATTCTTTTATAAAATGTAGTGGCGGGCCACAAAAAATTTCATTTGGGCCACATGCCTGATATAGATGGTATCATGAGCTTTTGTGGGCACAACCCACTTTCACCCACGAAAGCTCATGGGTGGGCAACAATTTTTGCCATGGGGACACTTCAAAAATTTTTGAAGTAGCCCTGGGTAACCGCGGAAGGGGTAGGGCATAACCAGGAAGGGGTGGGGTTACCCCGACCATTATTGATCTGGGGTGGGAGAGCCCCTTTGCCCTCTCCTTCCCACTAGGCACCCATGTCTCTAGTATGGCACGAGGAGGCTTCAGGCGCTTCCCCACCCCCAAAACAATCAGGGCTTGAGGGTGGGGGAGTGTAGGAAGCCTTCTCCTGCCTTGCTGCTCGCAGGGTGGGGACAGAGGCATAAAAAGCTTCACGTGCTCCCCCGCCCTCACACCCTAATTGGCCTGGGGGCGGGGGAGCAGCAGGGCCTCCACGGACCAGATCCAACCCACGGATGCCCATTTGTCTACTTCTGATCTTACATGTTTTGTTAATCTTTACAGTACTACTAGACTGTTTTTTAAGTTTTTCCTGCTACAGACTAACTCAGCTACCCCTCTGAAGCTTATACAAAAAGATTCTATACTATATCATTCCTTTTTGCCTCCCTGTTTCCTTTCTCCTTTGGAAAGTTGGGCAGGCAGGAATTTTGGTAAAAATGTATCAGATGTGCACACGGTGCCTGCTCCACCTCAGCTGGTGCTGGATAATCAGAGCCTCAATTCTATAGGAGTTGGCTTTACTGAAGTGATCGATCACGCCATGTTTTGTTGCAGATTTTCCATCGCCCAGTCATAGCAGAGACTTGGGATTAACGTGGCTTTCTCAACTAAAAGTCTTATACATGTTCGGATGCTGTGATTGTGAACACCTGGATAGGCAGTCTGTTCAAGGCAAAGTTGGCCTTGAAATTTGATATCTATGGCTTCAGTTGAATGGCGTGTGTGAAATTTGGAAGAGCAGCTCAGAGAGAGAGACCTCTCTCCTTTAAGGATAGAATCTCAGGGCAGCCTGAAGGAAAAAGTCCTCTTGGAAGACAGAAAGCCATGCTTATCCTCAGCCTCAGGCTACTTACTGCTTTAAGAAAGTGATTCTTGTGATGTGTGTTAGTTTTATTTAAAACTTTTTCGAAGTGTTATTTTAACAGGTAAGTTAATCTCTTACATTCATAACTCTTATGTAGTTTTTCACTGTGCGATAATGTGAAAAACGATTAGCTTAACTATATAAGTAAATGGGCAGTTATGAAGCATTACAGATTGCTTACAATTCATTTATTAGGTATCTTGTTAGTCTTTAAAGTGCTACATAACTTGTTTTCTTTTTGTTTTACCAAGATTAGAGTTACATGTCTACCTCTCTATTACAATAAATTTGATAGGCTCAAAAACTTTTTTACTTTTTATTCATTAAAGCAATCTGTTACTCATTTGCTATAACAGTAGTTTTAAATGCTTGAATGAAATATAGTGATGAAATTCATATTTAGGTTGTATAATTCATATTTAGGTTGTATAATTTTTCTCGTGTTTTATAAAACTTGCATATTTAAGAATTTGACATTTTTTATGTAAAAGACATGAACCTGAGAACGGACACGAACACATTAAAGAGAAAAAATTATTTAACAAAAGTAAACCACAAAACTTTATAATTTATATGTCTGTAGTTAGTAAAATAAGTAATTCATTAAACAATAAATATCCTAAGAGGTGGATTATTTACAGTGCTGTAGTAAGGAGGGTGAGGGGAAGTGGCCTCTGGGTGCCACACTAGTGAGATGCCAGTATAGTCCCCTTACAAGCCCCCTGTCATCTCTCTGCTCGCCTGCTCCTCCTCTGCCTGCTGCCACCGGCTGGAGCTATCTCCCCCCCCCCCCTCCGCCCCCTCTCTCTGCCCCCAGCCTGACCCCCTCCACCTCTGCCGTGGGACCCAGCCCCAAACTGGAGGGGGGTCGGGTAAAATGAGGTACAAGCTCCCCCCACTCCTCCCAGGGTCAGCTGTTACTCCTCCCAGGGCCCCACCATTTGGCTCCGGGCGAATAACACCCTCGCTACGCCTCTGATATGATTATATTTTCCTCCAAATATATTATATTTGTTGGAAACCTTGTTCTCTAAAGCTGCATATGATATATGCAGCTTGAAATGGGGGTCGGGTAAAATGAGGTACAAGCTCCCCCCACTCCTCCCAGGGTCAGCTGTTACTCCTCCCAGGGCCCCACCATTTGGCTCCGGGCGAATAACACCCTCGCTACGCCTCTGATATGATTATATTTTCCTCCAAATATATTATATTTGTTGGAAACCTTGTTCTCTAAAGCTGCATATGATATATGCAGCTTGAAATTATGTGTTCGTTTTCTGTGGGTTGCAAGTTTACATTTGTGTGACTCTTGCCATTTGTGTATTAACAACAAATAATGTAAGCTCAGACTCTCTCACAGGACCCTTTAAAGTGCCCGGTAGCAGATGGCAACCTCACAAGCTCAAAATGGCTTATTCGTTGCTCCTACATACCTTGTTTGGATGTTTTAGCTTCTCCACCATTTTAGCTTTGCAGTTCACATGCAGTATTGGTAAAAAAAGCATAGTTTAATTTTCCAGTTGTTTTGCATGCCATGTATAGTGGCTAGGTATTAGGTAAGTTGCTATAAAGGCTTTGCCACCAAAAAGTAATGCTCAGTATATCTTTAAGCCACAGTTCAGCATTAACTTTACTGTGCCTTCACCTCCAGGAGGAAGAAAAGCAAAGCAAAAATAGCTGTAGTTTCTACCATTCTTATTGATCTTACCTCTTCCTCTCCCCCCCCCATACCCTACCCAGCTACAAAAAATCAAATCTTCAAACTATTGCCCTGTAGCTTTTTTTATTACCTCAACTTTGGATGTTGTAGACACACTTTCAATAAGTATTGTAGAGCTACTTGTGATTGTAGTTACTCAAAGCACTTCAGTCCAAAACACTTCTGAGGGTAAAACCAATAGTTTAAAGCTCTGCTATTGTATATGCTCTGCTGCTTTGTTTAATTTCCCCGATCTTAAGTTGGATGCAATTTTTGAGAAAGGCAGTCTCAAAAAAGGAAATCAAGATAGGTGAGGTAATATCATTTATTGGACCTACTTCTGTTGATGAGAAAGACAAGGGTTTGAACTCTTCCTCAGACCGGAGAATGGTACACAGAGTGTCACAGCTTAAATACAAGGAAGGCATAGACTCTTGTGACATGTGTTAACCTCTTCCAGGTGGAGTGGCCCATTAAGATCTCTACAGTCCTAGGACAGTAGGGTAGTGAGTTTCAGATTATTATAATGAGCTACAAAATCCAGTGTCTTTAATAAACCCATCATTTTTGGTGTCAAGCAGAGTTTAAGTTCCCTGGTTTGTCTTTTGAAGGTGTTGTGCAGCTTTCCTTGAGGATGAGGACAGAGAGTGAGAGCTTTCTGAAAACTGTTCACCCACAGGTAATGGGGCATTTTTGTCTTTTATCATTTTTCTGTGTGAGTTTATTCTTTCAGGAAGCACCATTTTGTAACACCATTTTCATGGATCTTGGACCCTCCCCACAATTTTTAGTGCTGGAGCTCTTGTGTTTGTATTGATCCTGAAGGGTATAGTAACAGCTTTGACAGAGACAGACACTTCATTAGTGTTTTCATACAGATTCCTTACTGGAGGATAGATAAAATTAAAGCATTTTATCTTAATAACTTATGGCACTTTCTTTTACCAGTTTACATGTTCTAGTTTCAAAAATACAAAGGAACGAAAGAGTGATCCCAAGTAACTGCCTCGTAATATCATGTAGTCTCTTCTGTGCTGTCCCAGAATCCAAGGAATTGCTGTTCTGGAACCGACTCATGGTCCATCGAGGTCAGTATCCAGGAAGCAGAGGCACTGACATGAACAAGGGTAGCATTTCTCTTTCACTGCTCATTTGCTCTGCTACATGTAGAGCTTCTGAGAGATGAGGTTGCATCACTCCAATTGTGGAGATTGTGATCCACCACTGGCCCCAGATTCTTTTCAGCAGAGCTGAAAAGATAACTTATTTTGTTACCTTGATTTTTGTATGATTTTGTTTTAGTGATTCCATGTCAGCTGCTAGTGAGTATCTTCCATCTAGGTATTGACAAACTGAATGTTTTATACATTGTTCCAGTCACTTCCCAGGTACCAGAGTCAGGCTGTCTGATCTATCATTCCCCAGCTCCAGTTTTGCCCCTTTATAAAGATCATAGAATCATAGGGTGGGAAGAGAACTCAGTAGGTCATAGGATGCACACGATGTTGACCCTTTTCCAGTTTTTTGAGATCTTTCCAGTTGCTTTGCAATTTTTTTTCAGATTTTCAAAATTGACTAGTGATTTTGGGTTTCTTTTTCAAACTTCAACCCTCTGAAAATCCAGGGTCCTGGAAATGGTTTCAGTTTAGACTCTCATAGGTACTCATCACTTGTCCTGCATTTTTAAGCAAAGCCACTTTGGGATAGACACCCGCCTAAGTGGCCTTTGGTTTGAATATGTTTTAATACTTAAAGTGTCATGCTATTTTGACTACAAAAACTCAATGACTACTAGGTGTGAGCCATGTTTATGTCCCTTCCTGGTAGTGTATATTCTGCTTGTTAGTGCTCTTCAACATACATTGGGAGATGATTTCCCCTACAGTTGATGATGTGACTAAAGAAGACTAACCAGAATTGCTGCCACAAGAAACTGAGAAGTAATTGTATATAGCAAGTCCTTTTCCTCCACTTTAGCCTCTTCCTCTTTTACAATTGTATTGTCCTTTTCCTCCACTTTAGCCTCTTCCTATATCTCTTCTGATACCAAAAGTAAGTAGAATTAGATGTCACCTGACATACTTACCATCCCTTGGGATACCTGTTGGAAAGGGAGATTCAATTAATTATAAAATAAATATTATGCGTCAAAACCCATAATATAAACATCAAGAAAAGATTAGGGTTAATTAAACCATTAATTTATCTATACTTTCAGGGGAAGAACTATTAAGTCAACGGAGATGAAGTGCTGCAGCTGGCTTCCACAGTTCATAGACTGTTCCTCTGCCAATGAGTATAAATGATAATTGACTTTCATCAAGCTAAGGAAGCCTCATTGATTTGGCTCAGGCAATATGAAGCCAGTAGACTATGAAGCACCATTAGAGAATTGCGAAAGTACAGATTGAACAGTACAAGAGCATACATCTCAGATCAAAAGAAAAATGAACCAAGGGTATAAAGGGTAGGTGAGAGGAGATACAAAAAAAATACACACTGACTCGTTGCATTGAAGGTGTACGATCTCATGAGCAGGTTTGGTGAGCGAACTGACAAATAGGTGACTCTCAGTGGCAGCTATGTATTTACTGGAAACCATTAAAAGCTCTAACCTTTCAATCTTAGTGGGTTGTAGCTTTTGTCTGTGATCCCTCAAGACCGGGGATCAGATCTGATTCAAGATCCTAAGTGAAATTATTTTGCTGTAGCGTACTCCTTAACATTGGAGAGGCAGTAATCATCGCTAGTCACCATTTTCAGCTTTTACTGAGGAGTGGCCCAGGTTTGCATTGACAGGAGTGGCATAACCTCTTGCTGGTGATCCTTGGGTTGAAGTTTTTGGTATGACAACTTAGGGAAGAGCTTCATGTAGATCTCCAATTGTTCTTGGTATGTGGCATAAATGGGAGCTGACATTATCTTCACTGAGTGATAAATATGTGCAGTCCCCCACGCCCAGCAAATCTCCTTACACACTAGGCTTCACAATATCATGTTGGGTGTTGATCCAGTCTATAATAGATATACTTAAAATGCCTTTGAATTGTCTGAACAAATAGTGGTGTGGACTCCAAGAGCTCTTTGTGGGGTAGACTGCTTCTTCATCAGTTCTACCTCTGTGGAACCACTGGCCCTTAGACTTGTCTTGTCTCTGTTATCAGAGATTAACAGTTTACCCATCCTTTGAAAGATGGAGAAATAAAGCAATGCACAAGTATGTACTTATGATGGGTAGGAGGAGTGCTGGCCAGCACTTGTTAACTAAAGGATTAAATTCAGGTAGCTAGCAGAGTTTAATCAGAGAGAAATTGTATCTAGCTACCTCGCTGCTCTTTTTTTGTATGTGTTCTAAGGTAAGGGAGGGAGAAATATGCCATAATCAAGACTAACATGCCTTCAAGGAATTCAGGTCACGGGAGTGAACTGGACTATGAAGGGATCATGCGTAAATAAAGGGAAAATATTTATTTAGTAACAATCAGGGCATTTTTCTTTGTTTTGGTTAAATCTGAATCCCAAGCATTGTTACATGCTGGTGACTGATCGGAATCCCAAGCATTGTTACATGCTGGTGACTGACTGGCTAAACAGCAGTTCAGCAGAAAAAGACCAGTGGATGAATTTGTTCTTGTAGGCAAGGCGGCTAATGGCATATAAAAGTGTGCATTAGAAGGAGCATTGACAACAGATATAGACAAGTGATTATTTCCCCTGTATTCGGAACTGGTGAGGCCACATCTGAAGTACTACGCCCAGTTTTGTGCCCCCCCCCCCTTACAGAACAGATGTGGACACATTGAAGACAGTCCAGTGGAGGGCAACAAAAATGATTAGGGGGTTGGAAAACATGACCTATGAGGAGAGACTGAGGGATTTGGGTTTGTTTAGTGTGCAGATTTGTGTGCAGAGTCGTATGCAGAAGCGTGAGGGGGGATTTGAGTGCAGCCTTCAACGATCTGAAGAGGGAGCTCCAAAGAGTACGGCTAGACGCTGGTCACAGTAGTGATGGATGGCAGAACAAGGAGCAATGGTCTCAAGTTTCAATGGGGCAGGTCTAGGTTGAATATTAGGAAAAACTATTTCACTAGGAGGATGGTGAAATACTAGAGTGTGTTACCTAGGGAGGTGGTGGAATCTCTATCTCTAGATGTTGTTAAGTCCCGGCTTGACAAAACCCTGGCTGGGATGATTTAGTTGGGGTTGGTCTTGCTTTTAGTGGGGGGGGGGAGGAAGGTTGGGCTTGGGGACCTCCTGAGGTCTCTTCCAACCCTATGATTCTATGAGCTCTTCACACTGTACTACATGCAGCTGTACCAAACTGGATCTGGTGCTCTGTCTTTATAAAGTGATACACCAAGGACTTCAGCCATGACTACAGTAGCTGACCAATGTTGTCTGACAGAACGATGTAGTAATTCCTGGAACTTATAGGGATTTGAGGAGGTGATATATGTATGAAGTTATTTTATCTATTTTATTTTAAAATATGTTTGTCCCACCTCTCTATTTAAAATGTTCAAGGCAGTTTAAGACAATAGATGGGGTTTGTCCACTGGTTCAGAGACAAATCTGGTGGGAAAAACAGTTGATTTACTTAGAGAATAGATACTCAGCAACATTCAGAAGTCGCCTTTCTGCACCCCTTGTAGTTCATCCCAAATACATGACCATTAGATTGTTATGTTATTTGATATGTTGTTATTTCGGGGTCAGAATGGGTGAGGATAATGTGTATTGTAAGGAAGAACTTTAACAGGTTAACAGATAACCCATCTGAATTAAATGACTCATTCAACTGTGGTCAATGGTATGTCTACACAGCAAAGACCAACTACATGACCATTAGATTGTTATGTTATTTGATATGTTGTTATTTCGGGGTCAGAATGGGTGAGGATAATGTGTATTGTAAGGAAGAACTTTAACAGGTTAACAGATAACCCATCTGAATTAAATGACTCATTCAACTGTGGTCAATGGTATGTCTACACAGCAAAGAGGTATCCCAAAATAGCTACCCCACATGTTTTGAACATGTGTGCTCTTTCAAAATATAGTGGACACACTATTTCGCCATCCCTGTAGACCTCATTGTATGAGGAGTAAGCTTAGAGAATAGATACTCAGCAACATTCAGAAGTCGCCTTTCTGCACCCCTTGTAGTTCATCCCAAGATACTCAGTAACATTCAGAAGTAGCCTTTCTGCACCCCTTGTAGTTCATCCCAACTACATGACCATTAGATTGTTATGTTATTTGATATGTTGTTATTTCGGGGTCAGAATGGGTGAGGATAATGTGTATTGTAAGGAAGAACTTTAACAGGTTAACAGATAACCCATCTGAATTAAATGACTCATTCAACTGTGGTCAATGGTATGTCTACACAGCAAAGAGGTATCCCAAAATAGCTACCCCACATGTTTTGAACATGTGTGCTCTTTCAAAATATAGTGGACACACTATTTCGCCATCCCTGTAGACCTCATTGTATGAGGAGTAAGCGCTGTATTTCGAAATTTGCTGTTGCGTATACTCGAAATAAGCATACCGTAAATTGCGTATCTTATTTCGAGTTTTAGGTGCTGTGTACATGCAGCCTCAGAGTGCTTCTTATAGGAACAATGTGTAACATGCACCCTCAGAGTGCTTCTTATAGGAACAATGTGTAAGTTCCCAGTGGATGCACCACAGTTCTCTTGTCCAGGACACTCTGGTCTGACAGCATCAGTGGTCCGTCAGTGTTGGACCCCAGCAGTCCCAGAGCCACAGCAGCTTTAGCACCCCGGAGCTGTGGCAGTCCCAGTAGCTCTGGGGCTATAGAGTTGTGGCAGCCCCAGGACAGCAGAGTCCTGGTGGTCCCGGGGCTTTGGCACCACGGCAGCCCCAGCACCCTAGGGAGTGAAACTTGAGCTGCGGCAGTGGGGACTGGCCAGCGGAGATAACAGGCAGTGTCCTGGGGTTAGGGGAACTCTTATGTGTATGCTGACGGAGCCCACGAGAGCCCAGAGTCCCATCAGCAGAGCAATGGAATTGACCATCGCTGGTCTGGCACACTCCCTCATTCTGGACCAGTCAGGTCCCAAGGGTGCTGGACCAGGGAGATCCAACCTTTATTACAATACATAAAGATGATTTCACATGGAAGAAATATAGAGAAGTGAAATGATTCATGAGGAATAACTTTGGCATTAGCAGTTGGAGGTTATAACTCAAGCAATCCATCAGATTTGACTTGGATCCATTTATTCTGTGCTTCTCTTGTCCAGGGGACAAAACAAAGAAAATGCCAGGTGAGGATTTATATTGAGAATAACAAACAGCATTCCCTTGAAAGTAGGAATAAGAGCTCCTCCAGAAAAGAGCTTATTTTCCGGAGGATCACATCCAGACTGGCGCTTTTCTCCGGCTTATCTACAAGCCGGAAAAAAGCGGCAGCCATGAAAATGCAAATCCTGCGGGGGATATTTAAATCCCCCGCAGATTTGCCTATTCCCAAGTACTACATTAGTATCCCTATTACAGCCAATGTAGCTGTAGCCATAGTGTGATTACTGAGCAAGCCAAGTGGTACCTAGACCACAGCAACAGTTAAGACCAAGAGACCTCTACAGGATGGGCTGGGAGCCAGCTAGCTTTTAGCTCAGAGGGTAGAGGCTCCTATACTCCACTTCAGAGGTCCCAGGTTCAAATCTGCCTGGTGATGGTTACAAGTGGGAGCTTGTCTGGGATCTCAGTTGGGTCTCTGATGCTCTGAATGGGCTTCCTCATCTAGGGGAAGTATGTAACCCACACGGCTAGGCTATGTCTATACTTGTGGCTTCTTGCATGAGAAATATTACAAAATAGCTATATTATGTTGTGAAAAAGTAGACTATTATTTGTTTCTTCATTTTAAGACGATAAATTATTTAACTAAATTAATTTCTATTATTCTTTTGGGGGTTTGAATGTGAGATGGTTGACTCTGTGCAATCCTTGGGGGCCTGATCGCTGGATAGCCAGCTACCTTTCTATGGGAGGTTTTGTTGTTGTTTTGTTTAAAGCACTGGAGAAGGGCAGTGAAATGAAATGTAGCCCATCCGAGGTTACACAAACATATGAAATTTGACAGTCAATTTAAGAACCTAGTCTACTCCCAACATATACAAGATTTATGTGCTACAACATTCCTGAATTTTGAGTCAAAAGAGAATAGCTTTGATTCAAAGTGTAGGCACATCAGTTGCTCTTGTAACTTTTGGATCCTCCCTGTTGGATCTAGAACTTGAGATGCTGTGTATAATTAAAAGGAAAATAAATCATTTCTGTTAACTGTAGGCAAACTGTCTTACATCTTTCTCCAGCTCCTGCTTTTAGTCATTGTATATGAGGGTGAACAAAGTGTCTTTTTTCTGATCAAATTGTTCTTTCAGTGTTGCTTATTTTTTATAAAAATGAGCATTAACACGTGATTATATTAATAATAATTGATAATATATTATATAAATAATATACATATAATTATATAATTAATAATATATATATATTATAGTTTGTTCTAGATTGATGCATTTGTGCTGATGTTTAATTATACAAACACTGTGAACCAAGTAGCAATGTTTGAACCAGTTAACTGCTCAGTAAGTTTTGGATTAAAGTGATACTAAAATCCTAATGAATATTTAGATTGAAATTGAGTTTTCAGATTTGCAGAACAGATATATCCCTCACTACATGCACACACATCCATGAGCTTTATGCATCAATGAATTCTTATTGCTTTGAATAACGGTAGTGCTTATAGACACCAACTGAGCATTTTGGCCACATTGAATTAGATCTTGTCTGAACCTATTGCAAGTGTTGCTACTGCCCAGAACACTGTACTAGCTAACTGGATGAGACAGATGAAATTGTGGCGAAAGAAAGGTTTGTTTCAATTTTGCCAATGGGAGAATTGAGGCCCATAAACAGTAAGGGCAAAGCCATCTGCTGGAACAAAGTGGGGCAGGTCTAGTGAAGACAATGGTGTTCTGCCAATTCATAGTAGCTGAAAATGGTGCTCTAACTAATTAAAGCAAGGGAAAACAGAATGTTAGACTTGATCTCGCAGCACAGCTCAAAGGGTAAGAATTTTGTCCTTCTGGAACCTAAGAATACAACTTACACATACAAGCCAAATTATAAATCTAAACGTGTTGCATATTTACTCCATTAAGATCCCCAAAATATATCAATTACAGGACAAAATATAATGGGCTGTGAAAGTGGTACATCTTCCAAAATAATCTTGAACCAAGATACTATTATTTTTCATACTTAAAAAATGACTGAAGTCATTTTTTTATATTTCCTCAATTTGGAAGGTGTAAGAGGGGCAAAAGGAAGAAGGGATAGAGTTCCCATCAGCACTGCAATCTTTGTTTGGAAATAAATTGGAGCCTAATGCAACTGTACTTTATGGTCATATTATAGACCTTTGATAACGG